TAATTAACAGATTACCGACCGACTTCGGTCGGAAATTTCGGTCGGTATTGCTAAAAAAGGTTTGACCGTTTGGCCTCACAAATACCGACCGAAATCGGTTGGAAACTAACTTTTAAAAAATTTAATAATATTTTTTTATTAAATACTTATCAACATCTTACAAAAGTTGTACCACACAAAAAATTTTATTCTTAGCATTTTGCACACTTAATATATGCTTTCTTTCTTAATTTATACCTTAATGCACCCGATACTGGTCAATTTTGTGTTTAAACACTGTAATAAAATAATATATAATTAAATTTATATATAGCACTACATCTTAAGTTTTACCATAGCATTACATCAATTAAACACTTTATAATCTATTTACTAAGACATTAAGTGTATCATAGCATATTGGATACAATGACTATATCCATTACACTCAATCAATCATATATATATATATATATATATATATCATCTGCGTCCTTTCATATAAATTACACTTCATATCTGTATACGTGTAATATATTATAATAGAATGTATGATTTTATTCATTTATGATAATTTACACATACATATATATGACAAGCGTTGATGCCTTAAGTTATTCTCAACTGTTCGTTACATCGCTAGAATGCTTGATCGCTGAAAAAATAAGAAAATAAATCTTGAAGTTTAAGTGAACATTTTAAACATTCAAATGTTCCGGTATAATGAGTGACTAGATGTTCCACGATGTGTACAATCGACAGAGTCTTGAATATTTTATTCTCGATCACCTTATTAGTACTTTGCTCGAATACTTCATTAGTGGATCAATTAAAATTTCAATTATATTCTATTAAAACTTATTATAACACATTTAAAATCAAAGTGTATAGTTCTATAAGATGTAGTGCTATATTAATACTTACGTTATAGCAACAATAACATAAGTATACTTATATTACTGCTATATTAAAATTTAAGTTGTAGCAACAACAACATATTAATACTTATATTAATGCTATATTAATACTTATGGTATTGTTGCTAATACTTAAGTATTAATATAGCACTACATCTTATAGAACTATACACTTTATTTTAAAATGTGTTATAGTAAGTTTTAATCGAGTAAAATTGAATTTTCAATTGATCCACTGATGAAGTATCCGAGCAAAGTACTAATAAGGTGATCAAGAATAAAATATTCAAGATTCTGTGTGTGTGTGTGTGTGTATATATATATGTGTATGTGTGTGTGTGTGTGTGTGTGTGTGTATGTGTGTGTGTATAATTTATATTATTAAATATATGTAGATTGTAAATAAAAATAATTTAACAATAATACTGACCGAATTCAGTGAGTAAATTAATAATAATTTAAAAAATTTATTTTTGTTATGGAAAAAAAACAATTGACCCTCGGCGAGAAAAAATAAATTAAAATTTTTGACTGATTTCGGTCGGTATACTTGAAATTTTATAATTAAACTCTTTTTTGGTAGATAATATGCAAGTCTAACCAGGTCTTGGTCAAAGATTGACCGATTTCCGACCGACATCGGTCGAAATTTTTATGTGTGTCAAATGTAGCAGTGTTTTTTTATTGTGGGACCACTTTTTCCGACCGATGGTGGTCGATATCTTTGTGTGAAATTTTTTCTTTGACTTTTGTGACCAATTTAACTATTTTCAACCGATTTCGGTCGGTATGTTGTGGACGGGTTTTGGCAGTTTTCTAGTAGTTTTTAGCCTTTGCAATTTCAGCATTATGGTCAAAACCCTCTTGTCTAGCTTCAGTCAAAGTCTCAAAGAGAGTATTCAAGAAAGCCCAACTAACACCAAGTGTTAACTGGTCTTCAAGGGCCTCGTAATCCTTCTCCCACTGCTCAATTTCAGTTTTCAACTCTTCTTTTTCTGCTTCTGAAGCTTTATAAGATGTCTTCAAAGGAGTAAGAGAACTCTCAAGGAACTGAATCTTGTCTGTTGAGGCACGAAGGTCTTCTTGTGTCTGGGTAAGCATTTGTACCAGATCACCCGCGTATGCCTCTTTTTGGTTAAGGAGCTCTTTCAAGCTTCTTATTTCTTCAGTTGCCTTGAAGTGTTGTTCAACGAAGAATGATTCCAATCTCTCCTTGCCTTTTTTGGCTTGATTGGAGGAAGCTTTCAAAATCGCTAGTTTGGCGGTAATTATCTTCAATTGTTGTTCTAAATCTCTCTTCTCCTCGGCAAGAACGTATTTCTCCAGTTGCAGGCCTTCGAATTGCTTTTTCCAATTATCAGCCTCAGTACGCAACTCAATTACCTATTGATCCGTCCAAGAAATCCTTCTCATAAGCTTTGTACCTTTCAAATTGATCTATAAAAAGACAAAACAAGGGGAAATACGAATATGAAAGGAAGGAGAGAAAAGTAAAGAGAATAAAGATATACCTTGAGGGAAGAATGGATGATGTCATTCATCAAGGTCAAAGAACTCTAACCCTCAAGCTTTTTTCTTTCCACGGGACTAAGCAATGGTTTTAGCCATATAGCAGCTTGATTGGACTTTTTCAACAGATTCTTACCATCGGGGACTTCAATCAGAACTTTTTTTTTATACCCCGTCTACTGCTAGAAGGCTCAGCTTCTTCACGAGGAGCAGCAGCGGGGGCAACCACTGGGTGACTGTAGGCAGAGAAACAAGGGGATTAACAGCGAGAGCAACTGACGTCATCGGAAGAGAGGGAAGTGGCGACTCTTCACAGATAGGACCAAACTCTTCTTCACCCTTAAAACATTGGGTAAAGAACCTATCAACAGGACTTGAGGGGTGGTTATCAAGGTTACCAGCATCTTCATCAGAGATATTCAAATGGATATTCTCTGGCTCATCAACGAGACTAAAAGAATCGAACTTGGAGCGGGATATTGAGAGATATAGGCTTCATAATTTGGAACCACGTGCCTTCTGACTCGTGGCTTCCTCACTAAGGAACCTTCTTCGGTTTCCTTTTCATCTTCAAAACCCCGGACTTCAGCATTCCTCCTCTTGGAGGAAGACACGCTGAAAATTTGTTCTTGTGTAGATGGAAAACCCTAAAAAAAGTAAAAACTATATGCATTAAAAGGAAAGAACAAACAAAGAGAAAGGAAACCATGGGAAAAAAAATTTACCGTGAGTCTTCACTTTTCATCCAAATTTCTGTGAAAGAAATTTTCAGGATCTCTTATCCATGGGAGCAGTGGTCAACATTTTTTCTACCCAAGCACAGAAATCAGAAATTTCTTCAAAAACTTCCATGGTTGCTAAATATATGAACAAACATTCATGTAAAGAAAAATAAAACATCAAGAAAAGTAAGGAAAAAAAAAAGGAGGAAAAATACTTACGTGCAAAGTTTTACTTTTAAGGAAAGGGCATGTTTTCATCACCCACTAACCCACGAGTGTGGGTAGCAACGAATCGAGCATACCAGCCATGGTCACGGTCATCCTCGGGGCTAACTAAAACCCTTTTACTTCTAGCCAAGAGGGAAAAGTCTCCTTCACGAAATAATTTTTTGGAGAATATAAGTGGAGCAAGTGACAGAAGGTAAAAGGGGCAAAAACTAAACCCGACAAGCAGCAAATGCTATGGAAGAAACTTGTTTTTTCATAGCTTCGCGATCTCATACGAAAGAAAACTCTTGTGGGACAATCTCAGAAACAATAGGTTCACACATGGGTTCGTTCTGATCCCTTCCCTTAGAGGAAGATTTAGGGGTTAAGGGAGCTTTAGCCCTAGAAGAAGATGGTTTAACAGTACTACTTTGAGGAGTAGAACTACAAGTAGATAGTGAACCTAAACTACGGAGTCTGCCACCTAGGGGCAGTAGAAGGAGCAAGTTCATCAACGATCACCACTTTATGAGGGTCTGGCATTGAAGAAGGATTTTGAGAACGTGAAGACATCTTTAATGGTAGAAATACAAGTAAAAGATGAAGAAATACAAGAAAAAGTTAAGAAGATGAATGCAAGGAAGAAGAAAGAGACTTTCGAAGTCGAGTTAGATGAGGTATTTATAGGGGAAAGTAATTGTCATTAGGATTGATCATTATGAACTATCATCATAGAGCCGTAACTTCATGACTGATGCAGCCGCAGAAAAAACCTAAAAAGGCGTTGTAAACAGCAGAGCCAATTACAATGAGACACGTGTCTTGAGCATTAAGTAGGTATGATGTATGTCACATCGGTCCTGAAAAGGCATTATGTTATTCGAGAAAAGACGGCAAGGAATTCCCGCCATAAATGCTTACCACTTCCCGATATTCAGTTGAGAATATTCAGAAAGTATGGGGGAGGACTATCTGTATTGGTGAAAAAAGGCATGACACGTGGACTACTATCAAAGGCGACAAGTGGCACATCCAATCAGGCGAATTAAAGTATTCAAGAAGGCGCGAAAAAAATACCCACGGTGTTTCTTCAAAAAGGGTACCGGTCCCGCCGGCTGGATAAGAAGAAATAGTAATGGAATGAATAAAGACCATAAAGGAGGAAGGTACATGAATCTGTTGTAAATTAGGAATGAAAATCGACATTAATCGTGGTTACGAGGAATCTTCAGTCATTAATATTGCTATTACAATTATATATTGTAACTGGCAATCAAGGCAATTAATGCCAGAATTAAGTAGGAAAACCATTATAATTATGTACCCTTATATAAAGATCTCGTCCTCATTTATAATAGCATCTGAAATTTAATCAAATATATGCAATTATTCTTTTGCTTTATTCGAAAGGTTTTAGCCTCAATTCTAGAAAAGGTTATCTCAATCTGTCTTGAGTTTCCTTTCCTTGTCTATTATTTTCATTACTCTTTTTATTTTTCAGATTACTAAGAAAGTGAAATAATTTTAGTTATGGATAACCCGATTTCTTCTTTATATTGACTTTGACCTAGAAATCTATTTTTGGGTTAAACATTAAGTTTTGAGAAATTTCGAAAGGAAAAAAAGAGAATCAGAACTCTGTCTTACTATCTAAACAGTGAAAAGATATAAAGCAAAGTGACAAGGAAAATTTTCTCAACACATAATCATACACATAACGTTTCTATTGTCCTACAGTTCTTGAATTCTAAAGATAACGCATCTATCAACACTTTCAAGAAGCCTAACATCATCAATGGACTGTTCAACACTTTCATGATCATCAATGGATATGTTTAAATCCAAAGAAATACAAGGACTACTTCTACTTTCTTCCATTGCTCCCCCCTTATCCTCATTGTCTGATCCATCTGTTGATTTTTGTTTAACAGGAGAAACACCTCTTGACCTACAACTAAAGCTCTCACAACTTAAAATGATTATGGCATCACTAAGACTCACTTCTTCACCACTTGAATTTGTAAGTTTTCCTCTTTCAATAGCCTTCTTCATTCTCCTTTGAGAACAATAGTCCACTTGTTCCACATCCTCCACGAAGAAAACTCTATGAGGATTTGAAGACACCCCTTGTGCAAATCTCTCAATGTAGCTATTACTTTGTTCATCTCTTGACCTTTTGTTCCTAGAATATTCCTTAGCTGAATCCGTTTTTGTGGAAGAGAAACTGCTTAAATCGAACAATACGAAGTTCAAATAAGAACCAAACACAACCTTAGCCAATTCTCTTGCAATTTTCTCCTTGGCTTGAACATCATGACCTTGAAAAAACAACCAAGTTTCTTCTTTGGTTTCACAATTTCTTGAACATTTCTCTTTTCTTTTTATCATTCCAGACCTACATCGCAATATTGTTCCAGAAATTTCTCGGATAATATCTTTCTGCCAAGGTACTTTCTCATCCAATGCATTTGAAAGAATATTCAAGTTTTCTGAATTGAACTCCTTAAACTTTGGAATGTACTCCATCTCCATGATATCACTTGAGGAAGAAGAATTAGGTGTAGAGTTTGGATTTGAAGAAAATACATTTCTGGGGTCAGGGGACTCAGGGATGTATATTCTCAGACGCGCAGATCCTTTCTCCCTCCATGTCTGTTCTGGATCAAGAAATGGCAAATGATGGCAATGGTGCAAATTGGTATATTCTTGATCCAAGGAAAAACTTGTGATCATAGATGTTGAAGGAAAGGTCAAACTTCTTTCAAAAGTCTTGGTTTTTTTATGAGATGAGTTGCATATTGTATTCCACTTCTTGCAAAGCTCTTTGATTGATACACAGCTCTGAATGAAAACCACCAAAAGTTAGTATTTTTAAGGAAAAAAGAAAGAAAGACAGATTTGAAAAGGCTAAGGTAATTAACCTGATTATGATGACTATTATTAAGTCTTTGCTTCTCATCTTTAAGCCATGAAGGCAGACTTGACAATGTAGAATCAGTGTCTGAAGGTAAGCTTAGAACTTGTGCTTCATACTTGGCTGAGCAATCAGCACAACAAGTCAATATTTGCTTCTCCTGATCTTTACTATCAATAATCATCCCAGAAGATCCATTTTCAGATGCCTTTCTTCTAAGTTCAAGTTGTGTATCACTGATATACAAAAGTATAGACAGAATGAATATTTGAAAAAATTATAATATTGATAAAACATTACATGGTGAAAGCTTAGAATTTCTTTTTTTTCCTTGTTTACTTTCTCATACTTTGAGGAATTAAAGAGATGGCCGACCATAACGAAAGTGGAGGAAAAAGAAAGGAAAAGGAAAAAGTGAATGGTCAAACAACAAATTACCTAGAATGAGAAGGAGAAGAAGAAAACTAAAGGTAAAAGAAGATTAAGAAGTAATGCTTTTAAGGAAAATTAATAGAAATATAAAAGGGTAATACTTTTTCTACTTTTTCTTCCTTGTAATGTTTTCAGCACAAGATTTTGGGATACTTTCTTTAGATAAAAAAGAACTCCAGGAAATATAGCATCAGTATTAGTATTTATTATGGTAGAGTTACTTAACAATGAAAAAGCAAGGGTAATGAATGAAAGTAAGAGAATGATATATCAAATGTAACAGTCCAACACGATGGAAAAAAAAAAGGAATTGAGTGAACTTATTTAAAATTCAGTAAATATTTTACCTGTCAGAGTTGAGACTCAAGCCCAAACTGCTTGCAGGAATTGTAATAGGATGCAGGCCCCAAATAGATTCCAATGAATTATTACCAGTTCTGCATCTCATGTAAGTTTGAAAGGTTGCAATTCCCACAAGCCAAAGCTTTCCATTTTCTCCAATACTGCACACCAATCTCCCAAGTTCCATGATCATGTGTTCTACAGAAAAGCAGTAGCTAAAATTATTCCCTTGTCCACCTGAGTTATTGTTATTTGCCCTATAATCAGTAATCCACTTGAGATCTCCCAAGTACAAAACAACTCCTTTGCTCACTAGACTTTTCACAAGGCAACTCAACTCTCCTATTCTTTGCTCAACTTCTTCTCTTTGGATATTAGCAAAAGTTGAAAGAGGAACACTTATGAGCTTAATTTCCTTGTCAACTTTTTCCATCACTCCTTTAATCACCCCTTCCAAACTACCAAGACATTCACCAACTATCACAATAGCTTTCCTCCTTTTGTTCATTAAACTTTCCACTACACTCATCACATCCTCATCTTTAACAGGAAAAGAAGGAGCAGTTACTTTGTTGCTTGCTTTTAGTCCACCACTTTGATGATTTGAAAGGAAAACATGGTTGTTGTTCTCTTTGGGCTTACTATTGTTAAGAGAAGAATTATTTTGAGAAGAAAGTTCTAGAGAAACAGCTTGTTCCACATTGGTTTTAACTTGAGTACTTGAAAAGCCAGCTTCCCTCATGACCCTACTCACACTTGGATCATCCAAAATAGAGATAATAAGCTGCTCTAGATCTATCTTCACAGCTAGAAGAGGCTGCTGCTGATTCTCTATTGAACCTCTCCTCTGGTGAGCTTGAGCGCGCTTGAAGGCGGCCACAAGTGCGTTAGAAATGGAAGGATGTTGATGATGACCTAACATCATGGGGCTAGAAGAAGAAGAAGAAGAAGACGATGTAGGGAGGCGGTTGAGGGCGACGTTGAAGCAAAGCTCAAGGGCTTTACATTGGAGGGGATGAGAGTGAGACTGAGACTGGAGACATGCTGTTCTAAGTAAGCCAGGAGAAGAAGAGAGCATGGTGTTTGCTACATGGAGAGGAGTCACTTGGGCATGGCCGCGACGCTTAGCAAGCACCACGGCTTGTTTTACTATGCTGCCTGCCTCTGCTGTTAGAGCTTGCTGCACTGTGCAACCTCCACTTCTCATATTTAAACCTTGATCAACAAAGGAGAAATTAAAACAAAGCTGGAAATTTGGAGCTAGGGTTAAGGTAGACCTTGTGAAAGTCTTGGTAATTTCATGATGACTACAGAATTAAAAGTTTCAGACGTATAAACAAGCTAGCTAATAAATTAACTGATTTTCTTGGCTTATGACTTTGTTGAGTTAAAATTGGTCAAGAAGGGATTCAACAACTCTATAGTACTTAATATTTGGTAAAAACACAGAATCAGAGAAGGAGAAAACCTCTGAAGAATAGGTTTTGTTACTAGCCCTTTCCTTGGTATATCTTAAATGAAAGCTGAAATCTATACTAAGATTGTAGAAAGAGAAATGAGAAATATAAGGTTGGGGGTGGTGAAGGGGGCGGGGGCGGGGAGGAGTTAGCTTTTGTATCTTTTCCTAGTATTATTTTTTTCTTTTGCAGGACTTGAGGGCCTGTTCTTTTCTTGTGGGTGAGGTAAAATTTTGGGGTGGAAAGGTGATTTGTAGTGGAAAGTGGAATGCATGTGCTGACAAGGAGGAAGAATTGCACCATTACCAAAGGCAATTCAGCTTTACTTTGTATGTAACGCTGTACTAAATATGGATGGTGATATGTTTCTCGAGTTTCTTTCTTTTCTACTGATAAAATATTAAAATTATCTTACAATCTTCCACTGGTCCTACTAAAAAGAGAAGTTAATATATACAGTTCCGAAAACAGAAAGAAAATATTACCATTCGCTTTGGTAGAATTTGGTCATCTTTAGTTTAAATTTCTCGGTCCTCAAATAAGCGAAACATAAACCATCAATAAACAAAACATGAATCCAAGACCAAAAATCTAAAGTAAAAGAAAACCATTGTTTTGTAGTAGTAATATATTTCATGATGTATTTTATTACTTATCCTAGAATTCTTTATTCTTAAAAAAATACTATGGGTATTATATATAGCCTAAGTTATTTGAGCATGTGAATATTATAGCTTTAGCCTTACTAAAACGTTAAAGTTAACATTTTCTTGCGGGGGCTTCTACTATGAAGCTGTAACGACCTGACCGGTCATTTTGAATATCATGGCCCTGTTCCCTCATTTACTGCTCAATTTATGCTTTATAATTATTTTATGACTTACCGGATTAGTCGGTTCGGGTCCGGAGAGAATTCGGAGTGAAATGAGACACTTAGTCTCACAATTAAAAATTTTAAGTTAGAAAAGTTGATCGAATATGGACTTATGTGTAAATGACCTCGGAATAGAGTTTTGATGATTCCAATAGCTCCGTATGGTGATTTTGGACTTAGGAGCGAGTTCGGAAATTTTTTTGGAAGCCCGTAGCTAAATTAGGCATGAAATGGCTAAAATAGAAATTTAAGTTTGGAAGTTTGACCGGGAGTTGACTTTTTGATATCAGAGTCGAAATCCGATTCTGAAAATTTGAATACCTCCGTTATGCCATTTATGACTTGTGTGCAAAATTTGTGGTCAATCGGACATGAATTGGTACGTTCCGGCGTTGTTTGTAGAAATTGGAAGTTTTGAAGTTCATTAGGCTTGAATCTATATGTGATTAGTGTTTTTAGCGTTGTTTGAGGTGATTTGAGGGTTCGACTAAGTCCGTATGATATTTTAGGACTTGTTGGTATATTTGGTTGAGGTCCCGAAGGGTTCGGGTGAGTTTGGGATGGTTAACGGATCATTTGTGGCCTTGGTGGGATTGCTAATATCTATTGCTACATTTTTCGGATTTTCTCTTTCGCGTTCGCGAGTGGGCCCTCGCTTTCACGAAGAGGAATTTCAGGCAGGCACGATTTAGTCTTCGCGTTCGCGATGGGGTCTCGCGTTCGCGAAGAAGAGCTGGGTTGTGCATCGCATTCGCGAAAGAAAAAATAGTGGGCATGGTTTTTGCCTTCGCGTTCGCGAAGGGGAGATCGCGTTTGCGAAGAAGGGCTCTCTAAAGCATCGCGTTCGCGCGCAATGTCTCGCGTTCGCGAAGAGCAAATGTTGGGCAGCACATTTTGTGCTTCGCAAACGCGAGGGTCCTGTCGCGTTCGCGAAGAAGAGAGGTCTAGACAAAGAGTTTAAGTTCTGAAATTTTTGACGGATTTGAGCTTGGGAAGAGGCGATTTTCGGGAGTTTTTCAAGAAAAACAACAGGGTAAGTATTCTCAACTCAATATTGGTTAAATTACCCGAATCCATGGTTGTTTTTATCATTTAATTAGCGAATTAAGTTGGAAAAGTTTGAAAACTTTCTTAGTTTAAATTGAAGATTTGAGGGTCGAGTTGGGGTCGGATTTTGATAAAATTGGTATGGTTAGACTCGTGATTGAATAGAATTTTGGATTTTGTAACTTTTTGTCGAGTTCCGAGACGTGGGCCCACGGGCGATTTTATAGCTAAAATTCGGGTTTTTATGGATAATTTGGATATTCTTATGAAATTAATTCCAATAAATTTAATTGACTTAAACGAATTATTTATGACTAGATTCGAGGCATTCGGAGGCCGATTTGAGAGGCAAAGGCATAGCAAAGTAAAGAATTTCACGGCTTGAGGTAAGTAACAGTTTTAAATCTGATCCTGAGGGTATTAAACCCCGAATTTTGGTATCATGTGATTATTTTGGAGGTGACGCACATGCTAGGTGACGGGCGTGTGGACGTGCACCGAGGGGATTATGACTTGGTCCGTCCCGAAAAAACTGTAAAGTTGAATAATTTATTGTTAGCTATATGCTCTCTCTGTGTTGATAAGATTTGACTGTAAATCATATTAGAAATCATACTTAGGCTATGTGATAGTACTGTTGGGATCCACAGAGGTTGCGTACTTGTTGAATTGCCTACTAAATGCTAAATGTACTCAGTCTCAGTTTTTACTTGCACATTTTATCTTAGTCTCTGTTATTATTATTGATACATCATATCATTGTTGTTTGGGCTGATTTCATGATTAATGAGATCCCGAGAGATTGGAGAGATTTATGACTGAGAGAGGCCGAGGACCTGATTGTGAGATATTGATATCATAGCACGTGAGTTGGCCGTGCAGATTCTTAGATTATACTATAGCACGTGAGTTGGCCGTGCAGCACGTGAGTTGGCCGTGCAGCACGTGAGTTGGCCGTGCGGATCCTTATATTAAACTATAGCACGTGAGTTGACCTTGCAGCACGTGACTTGGCCGTACAGATCCAGATATTTATATTATGGCACATAAGTTGTCCGTGCAGATTATAGCGCTTGGGCTGTAGGAGCCCCCCGGAGTCTGTACACCCCCAGTGAGTGCGGGTACCCAATGAGAGTGAGTGATGAGGGCTAGCAGCCCAGAGAGTGATGAGGGCTGGGAGTCCACTGAGTGATTGTTGTCCTAAGAGGTTGTACTTGATTTTCATTTGTTGTTGCACTTAGTTGCTATTTGTCATTTTTGTGAAATCTCTGAAAGATTGTTGATATATGGATTACATGAACAAAAACTGTATAAAAATTGATTTGACATTAAACTGTCAGATTTGATATCATATTTTATTTTGCTGGAATTACTGGAAATGAACCATAACTGTGTAGCTCGTTACTATCTTCAGTTCCTTATTTATTATTGTTACTTGCTGAGTTGGTTGTACTCATACTATTCCCTGTACTTCGTGTGCAGATCCATGTGTTCCCGGACATAGCGGGTGTTGATCCTTTCGCGCGGTTGATTTTCAGGAGATTTTGAGGTAGATGTTGTGTTCCGCAGACCTTGTCTCTTCTTCTCTATCTCTTTGTTCACTATATTTGGTCTCAGACTATTATAGACTATATTTTCTAGAATTGTATTCATATTAGATGCTCATGTACTCAGTGACACCGGGTTTTGGGAGTATTTATATTTGTACTTGTGAGATTTCTCCCGCTGAATTTAATCATTATATTTTCAAATTTAAAAGATATGTAGTTTATTGAGATTAGGCGCCATCACGATGGGTAAGAGTTTGGGTCGTGACAAGTTAGTATCAGAGCCTAGGTAACATAGGTCTCACGAGTCATGAGCAGATTTAGTAGAATCTTGCGGATCGGTACAGAGACGTCTGTACTTATCTTCGAGAGGCTGCCGAACCCTTAGGAAAAATTTCCCTTCTTGTATTCTATCGTGCGAAATTGATTCAGCTTGAAACATAACTCTTTGAATTCATTCCATGCATTCGTATGCACACGTGAGCGCTCGGTATCAGCTGTGCATCGCCAGGTTGTGATTCTATGAACGAGGTTCAAGATATGTATTCTGTGTTTTGGTGATGGGCCAGTCTGGAGGACTTGAAGCCAGGTTTAGACCACATCTTAAGCTGGGTAGCTTCAGTTGTAACCTGTACATTTGGACTAATATGTCTGGTAATGTCCCTATGAGTGAAATTTATGGCTCGATGAGCGGTATAACGGCTTTGTGATGAGTATGATGTAACTGTGGGGTATGTTAAGACGATTTGAATGTGACGATAAGTGATTCCTTGAAATGTAAAAGAAGGCCATTGGGTGCTTTATTTTCGTTTTGATGTGACGTACAATCTCGAGTGTGAATATTTTGAAAGATCTTTCACTTTGTTAAATTTTGGGGCAAATTAATTCTCATGTTTTGTCAATGAATTTGGACTAAAGAAGAGTAAGTGATTGTGTAGTAATTGTGGTTGTGAATGGGTATTTCTGATGATGATAGCTCGAGAAAGATAATCTTCGAAGAGACTTAGAGTCGATAACATTCTGTTAGTTCCGGTACGACAGAGATGCGTTTCGAGTTGATGCAGCAATTGGGCAGCAAAATATGAGGGAACACATGACGGGAAGCGTTTTGCTGTGGTTGAAATACTAGCAGGTTAAGTAGGGGAAGTGGAGTTTGAGAAGTTGCTTAAAGGAAATGGTTAATCGAAGGATGGAAAATTTTAAGTTAGAAAAGTTGACCGGATATGGACTTATGTGTAAATGACCTCGGAATAAAGTTTTGATAATTTCAATAGCTCCGTATGGTGATTTTGGACTTAGGAGCGTGTTCGGAAATTTTTTTGGAAGCCCGTAGCTAAATTAGGCTTGAAATGGCTATAATGGAAATTTAAGTTTGAAGGTTTGACCGGGGAGTTGACTTTTTGATATCGGAGTCGAAATCTGATTTTGAAAATTTGAATACCTCCGTTATGTCATTTATGACTTGTGTGCAAAATTTGAGGCCAATCGGACGTGAATTGATACGTTCCAGCGTCGTTTGTAGAAATAGAAAGTTTTGAAGTTCATTAGGCTTGAATCTATGTGTGATTCATGTTTTTAGTGTTGTTTGAGGTGATTTGAGGATTCGACTAAGTCCGTATGATATTTTATGACTTGTTGGTATATTTGGTTGAGGTCCCGAGGGGCTCGGGGTGAGTTTGGGATGGTTAACGGATCATTTGTGGCCTTGGTGAGATTGCTGGTATCTGTTGCTGTATTTTTCGGATTTTCTCTTTTGCGTTCGCGAGTGGGCTCTCGTGTTCGCGAAGAGGAATTTCAGGCAGGCAGGAT